ATCTTTATTTACCACCTGGCTATCTTCCTCTGAGCGTTTTCTACCTTGCATTTGCTGGATCTGATTCCTTTCCCTTCGTGCCCTTCACTCTGATGGGGGCCTTTTATTATTCACCTCCTGACTCAGATGAAGGTCAAGCTGTGAGCCTGCAAAGTTTGTTTTCTGTGAATCCTCCCTCTCTTTCCCTTCTTCCTCCAGCCCTGTAGGTGACTAAATATCCCAGACACTGTTCTATGCTCATGAATAACACCGCACTCTCTTGATTTGAAACCACAGCTCTGAGACTTTAGTTTCTCTTCTCAGCTAAGGAAATTCTGGGAAACATTTCGGTGGACAGTAAACCCCCAGTTAACTCAGACTTTAGTTTATGACATAGCAAATGAATAACACCCTTATATCCTTACCCAAAATGTACCTTTCAATTATAAAAAGGGTTTGCTGAGCCAATTAATAATAGACTGATAAATAATACCAAAATATTTATCCTACTTTTTTTTTTTTGAGTCAGAGTCTCACTCTATTGGCCAGGCTGGAGTACAGCAGCACGCTAACAGCCACCACAGCCTCGACCTGCTGGGCTCAGGTGATCCTTCTGCCTCAGCCTTCCAAGTAGCTGGAACTACAGGGGTGCACCAGCATATTTTTCGACTTATTGTAGAGAAGAGGTCTCACCAAGTTGCCTAGGCTGGTCTTGAACCCCTGAGCTCAGGCAATCCTCTCACCTCAGCCTCTCTCAAAGTGCTGGTATTAGAGGCTTGAGCCACCGCATCTGGCCTTATCCTACTCTCTGTGTAATGTTTTATGTATAATATACAATCTATACTTTATAATAAATTTAGTGTATAACTTCGTACAAGTCAGCCAAAGGTAAATTTTTTCTAGTTTTTTGTTTTTATGAGGATGCCCCAAAGGTAATTTTTTGAAGCACTGGCAATATTTTTCGTATTTTTATTAGCAAACTTTCAACATCTGTTGACATTTATAAAAGAAGGTTACTGGCTGGGTGTGGTGGCTCAGACCTGCAATCCCAGCACATGGGGAGACCCAGGCAGGAGGACTGCTTGAGTCCAGGAGTTTGAGGCCAACATAGAGACCTTGTTTCTACAAAAGTCAAAAAATTGCTGGGCTCAGTGGCTCAGCCTGTAATCCTGCGCCTTTGGGAGACTGAGGTGAGTGGATTGCCTGAGCCCGCGGATTCGAGACCCGCCTGGGCAGGCGAGACCTCATCTCTACAATAAATCAAAAAATCAGCCGAGAGTGGTAGCACATGCCTGTAATTCCGGCTACTTGGAAGGCTGAGGTGGAAGGATCACCGGAGCCCAGCAGGTCGAGGCTGCGGTGGCCGGGAGCAGCCACTGCACTCCAGTCTGGGCGACTGAGTGAGACTCCAATTCAAAAAAACAAAAGATTTAGCCAGGTGTGGTGGTGGGCACTTGTAGTCCCAGCTACTTGGGAGGCTGAATGAAGGATCACCTGAGCCCAGGAGATTGAGCCTATGGTGGCCGTGAGTATGCCACTGCACTCTGGACTGGGTGACAGTGAGACCTCGACTCAAAAATAAATAAATTAATTAAATAAGATTACATTTTCATGCAATATTTTGGGTATTATGGCTCTCATTACATCAGACTTACGTTTCACAGTTTTTACTAAATATGATTTGCTAGGCCATTGGTAAAAAGAAAACAAAATTGCCATGTGCACATAAACATTAAAGAAACACTACTACTATTAAAGTATGATACCTTCAGTGATTCTTTTATTTTTAACCTACTATCCCGTACATCTTCAGCGCCTACAAGATTATGGAATCCATCCCAATGAGAGGGATGGAAACTCAATACCATCATTAGCAAAGAAGGCTGGGCAATTGCAAGGAAACTAGGTCGGATTGTTTAGGGAATGAATTTGTTTTCAGTAAGAAAATAGTTTGCCTGGACCGGGCACTTTGGGAGGCCAAGGCGAGAGCATTGCCTGAGTCCAGAGGTTTGAGACCAGCCTCGGTAACTTTGTGAGACCTGTCTCTACAATAAATCAAAAAAATTAGCCAGGTGTGGTGGCGTGTTCCTGTGGTTCCAGCTACTTGGAAGGCTGAGGCGGAAGGATCGCCTGAGCCCAGAAGGTCAAGGCTGTGGTGGCCGTGAGCCTGCCACTGCACTCCAGCCTGGGCAATAGAGTGAGGCTCTGACTCTAAAAAAAAAAAAGAAAGAAAGAAGGAAAGAAAATAGTTTGCCTAATGTCATGTCTAATTGACAATTTGATAATGTTACCCTAAAATTATTGTTTAAAAAGCAGTACTGGGCCGGGCTCAGTGGCTCAGCCTGTAATCCCACGTCTTGGGAGGCTGAGGTGAGTGGATTGCCTGAGCTCGCAGGTTTGCAACCCACCTGGGCAACTTGGCGAGGCCTCATCTCTACAATAAATCAAAAAAAAAAATTTAGCTGGGCGTGGTAGCGCGCGCCTGTGTTCCAGCTACTTGGAAGGCTGAGGCGGAAGGATTGCCGGAGCCCAGCGGGTCGAGGCTGCGGTGGCTGGGAGCGGCCACTGCCCTCCAGTCAGGGCGACAGAGTGAGACTCCAACTCTCATGAAAACATTTTTGTTACGACAAATTTGTCTTCAGTGGTGGTTAGGAAAGTGCAACTAATCCAAGACAGAGTAAATTTTAGAAGAGTGTCATTTGGCTTTGGACATTACACCAATATATGGAGATTTCAGTCATATTTTCCTCCCAATAAACTGAAAATAAGACTGCCCTCTGAGAGTTAGACTTTAAAATCACATTCAGTGAATAGGAGCAGAAATAGGCAATGTCACCTTTAGAACAAACTAGCCCGACTTAACTGTAATGTGATTTCTATTGAAAGAATATTGCTAAGAGGTTAGGGTAGTCACAGAAACAGAGAGAATAACATACTTTCTCTGGCACTTTAGGGCAGTAGCCATCCAAGTGCTATCAAAGATAGAAGGGCCTGAGCCAACAGCTCCAAAGGAGGTCCCTACTGTACTGGAAATCAATGTAGAAAATGGCAGCCATTGGATATTGCGGACTTATGTCTTTGGGACAAAATCATCCTGCTGTGAAGACAGATGAATCAAAAAAAGTCTATACATGTAACTCCACTTGTTCTGAATCTGTGCTTATCAAGTAACCTTCTGATAATATCTTTGGTTTCCTGGTTTGGATACATACAAAATGTACTCAAGAAGAGAGAGCTGCTTCTGTCCATGCTAGAGACTTTCCATCCTGGCAAAAAAAAAAAGTCCCAGCTTTGCAGTTGTGAGCACTCAAGTGTATAAATTATAGCTCTTGGAAATTTTTTCTTTTTTTTTGAGTTGGAGTCTCACTCTTGTCGGCACACTCATGGCCACTGCAGCCTCGACCTGCTGGGCTGTTGATCCTTCTGCCTCAGCCTTCCAAGTGGCTAGAATACAGACATACACCACCACACCCGGCTTATTTTTTGATTTATTGTAGAGATAAGGGCTCACCAAGTTGCCCAGGCTGGTCTTGAACCCCCAGGCTCAGGCAATCCTCTTGCTCGGCCTCCCCAAGTGCTGGGATTACAGGCTGAGCCACCACACCCAGCCAGCTCTAGGAAATTAATACATTAATATTATGCCTGTACATGTTGGTCTCATGACCTGGATTAATGCAAACTCACCTGGTTGCTGGAGGTGTTCTACATTGTATAAGAAAGATATTTCTGAGGTTGGGAGCTGTGGCTTATGTCAAAAGGTAGGAGGATTGCTTGTGTCCAGGAGTTCAAAACCAGCCTAGACAACATGGTGAGGCCTTGTCTCTACAAAAAGTAAAAAAATTAGGTGTGGTGGTGCATGCCTGTAGTCCCAGCTACTCAGAAGGCTGAGGCAGAAGGATCCCCTGAGCCCAGAAGGTCAACGCTGGGGTGAGCCATGATCCAGCCTGGGAGACAGAGTGAGACTTCGACTCAAAAGAGAAAACAAAGAAAAAAGCATACTTCTGAGACCAGGACACTTGGGACCAGATCCTAGAAGGTTGTGAGAAATTCACTAAAGTGTTGCTTCCCTGTCCCCTTGGGGGACAAACAGTAGGCCTTCCCCTGGCAATGACCCTGTATCAATCAGCCAGAATTTCCTATTTCAAGTGATCATCAATATCAATGGGAAGGGAGGTGTCTGTAATTTACCTCTCTTTATTATTTTACTTAACATCGCTACAGTGACAATTCCATGAACATACATCAGCTACTGGTGGGGACGACAGGCCAGGATAGGTGGCGAGGAACACTTGGCACATTCAGTGGCTGCCATTTCCTACACATCCACCATGTGTTCAGACAATATTATCATGTGATAGTACTTCATTTGCAATAACTCACCCTTTACCTGACACTGGCCTGTAAGACCCAGCCTAGGAGCCGAACACGGCCAGAGAAATCACAGAAACGGAAACGGCTTATTTTGCATCCATAAACGCAAACTTCAAAAGAGCTCTCAGCCGAGCCGCCGATCCTATTCTAGGCTTGTTTATTCTTATTTTTCCTCAACGCTGGGTCCCGTTACTGCCTACCCAGCTAAGGCTGCAGGTGAGAGACGATGACCGCTTCCGAGTCTTTTCCGGGAACTCCCGCACGCCAGGCCGCTCCGCCTTCCCAGCTCCACCGAGAGCCGGGGACCCAGGTACACCCCCCGATACAAGGGTGCCCTGCACCGAGGCACGTCCACTGGCCACCGTGGCCGACCCGAGAGCTCCCAGGAAAGGGCTCACGCTAAAGCTTTGCTCGGCAGCGACAGCTCTGGCTGCAGGAACTCCCTCCCTCCGGCAGGAGGCGCGAGCGCCCCCTGCCCGGGTCAGGCCGCCACGGAGACGTCACGTGATCCGGCCGTCTCTGCGACAGAGGGCGGTCTCGCGGAGATTCGCCTTACGTGCGCAGCGCCATGACGTAGTACGTAGGGGCTGGCTAGCCGCCATCTTGCTTCTTTTTCTCGCTGGCTCCGTCCCTGTCGGGAAGCTGCGAAAGTGTACCGGCGGTTTGTCCATCCGCAGCTCCGGATAGCCCAGTCCCGTGGCCCTTCCGGCCTCCCCTCTCTCCGCTCGGCGGAGACCTTCGGAGTGCGAAGACCTGACTCTCCTCCTGGCCGGTAGGGGCAGAGGGACGGAGGGGCGCGACCGGAGGCCCACTGGGAGGCGGCGTGGGGCGGCCCGGCGGCGGGACCTGCCCGGAGCCGGGCGGCGGCGGAAAGGGCCCCGGGCGCCTCCCGCCCTCCGGCTGCCG